GAGAGTAGGGAGGGAAGAATGAAAAATCACCTATGGGATACAAGGTACACTTCTCAGGTGATGGGTACATCAGAAGCCCAGACCTCACCACTATGTAATATATGCAGGTAATGAGATTCAACTTGTGCTCCTTAAATCTATGAAAATAATTAAAAAAAAGAGAAATAATGCTACAAAAAATATAATAAAGATAAGTGTGAGACCGCATACATTGAAAAGACAACATAAAAATAAAATAATCTATTAATAATTTAAAACAGGCAAAGGACTTGAATAGACATTTTTCCACAAAAGAAAGAAAAATGGCCAACAGGTATGTGGAAAGGGCTCAATATCACTACCCATCAGGGAAATGCAAATCAAAACCACAGTGAGATATCACCTCTCACCTGTTAGGATGACTTTTATGAAAAAGACAGGAGATAACAAGTGTTGGGCAGGGTGTAGAGAGAAGGGAATCCCTACACACTATTTGTGGGAACAGAGAATGGTGCGGCCATTGTGGAAAATAGTATGGAGTTTTCTCAAACAAATTAAAAGTAGACCTCCATAATCCAGCAATCCCACTTTTGGGTTTTGAGAGGACTGATAGTTTGTGCTACATAAAAGTTGGAAATTTCCATTTGACAAAAACCACCATGAACAAAGTTGAAAAGGCATCAAAAAATAACCCAAAGGAAATGAAATCACTGCCCTGTGAAGATATCTGTCCCCTGTATTCAGTGCAACATATTCACAGTGGCCAAGATATGGAAACAACCAAAGGATCTGTCAACAGATGGATGGATAAAGAAATTTCCATGTGTGTGTATGTGTATACACACACACATATATATAAACAGAATATTATTCAGCCTTAAAAAAAAATGAGATACTGTCATTTGCCACAACATAGATGATGAGCCTGGAAGACACTATGCTAAGTGAAACAAGCCAGATGCAGAAAGAAACATACTGCATGATTTCCCTTATATAGAGAGTCTTAAAAAAAGTCAAATGCATAGAAGCAGACTAGAACTGTGGTTACCAGGGGTGAGAAGGGACAGGAAATGGGGAGATGTAGGTCAAAGGGCATAAACTTGCAGTTACATAGGATGAATAATTCTAGAGATCTAATGTAGAGCATGATGGCTAGAGTTAATTACAATACATTGTACTGTATACTGAAAATTTGCTGAAAGACATTGTAGTTGCTCTTACTACACACACACACCAAGGAACTATATGTGGTGATGGATATTTTAATTTGCTTGACTGTAGTAATCGTTTCACTATGTATATCAAAACATCATGTTATACACCTTTAAATAAAAAAAGACAGCGTAGCAATTTCAAAGCAGACAGAGTGTGAATTTCAGTTTGCTGACTTGCTGCAATCTTGCACCAGTTACCATCACTGAGCCTCGATGGAAAGAGGATAATCATACTCACCTTAGAGAATTTTTCTATAGAATAAATGAGATCACAAACAGCACACAGTGAGCACTAAAGGAAATGTCAAGTGTGTGGGGATCAGAGAGAGCTTCTCCAAGTAGGCAGAATTTAATTTTTGTCTTAAAGTTAAGCTAGAATTTAGACAAGCAAAGAATAGTGAGGGTTGGGAGCAGCATTCCAGGGCATCTAGGGAAAGGCGAGAAGAGTGTAGAGGCAGAATTTTGCAGAGTGCATTCAGGGAAGAGGGAGTTAAACAGGAGGGAAGAGATTGTCCAGAAAGACAATGCAATGACGTGTCGGGATGGATGAACCTTCTGTTTTCTATCATATGGCATCTTTTTAGCACTGGCATTTACCTACATTAAATTGTGTGGAAGAGTCAGTCTCTGATTGGAAGCAGATCTATCATGGGTAGAGGCAGTGAGGTGGGGGGGTGGCAGCCAGGTTTTGGAAGGCCATTGCCTTCAACAGGAACTTGTGTGGTCTCTTGGAGTCTGACTCTGGGGTCTGAGTTGGCCAACCTCAAAGAAACAAGCTTAGAAGGTTTTCCAGGGACAGACCACAAACCAGTTCCAAGTGGCGGCACTTAGTGTTCCCATGGGACAACCCAACTACCCTTGGGGGAGCCCAGCTCTGTCTGTGTGAGTCGGGGTCCTCAGGGTAGGTCGGCATACGCAATCGGGCCACTAAGAAAAGTCCAATGAAGGGACTATTACCAAAGTGCAGGCAAGGCAAGGAGGACCAACTTTGATAGGGATAGCAAGAGGGGAGGATGGGGAAGGAGAGACATTGTCGGAGCTGCCTGCCAGGAGCTGTAGCTTTCTGCAGAGGAATGTGGGCTGGGGAATAAGTACCCCAGGCTCTCTTGCAGGTGAACCTGCTACCTATACTGGCCAGACCTAAGCCAGAAGCCAGAGTGCCAGTGTGTCTACCAGTGCAGTCTATATAGGCCAGCCTCCCCCAGGTGTGGAGCCGGATGGAGAAGGATGGAGAGTGGATCTGCAATATCTAACATGTCAAAACAATCTTACAGAATGACAAGCCCACAAAAAGGGCTAATTACCAGCCTGCATCTCCCTTAACAGCTTCCTCTTGGTGGAGCCCCTCCACATCTCTCTCTCTACCCACCCACTCCCACCCCCTGCACATCTAATTGATCATCCAACCTTGCCAATTGGACCTCCTAGTATCTCTCAAAAATATACTCTGCTCACACCATATACCTCAATTCCAGAGGGCTTAAGGATTTATAGTTTTATTTCTTATAACTAAAAGTACTGGATGAAAACCTCACTGGATATTTATATAAACTTGGAGTAAAGGGAGGCCTTCTCAAAGAATGACCTTAAATGCAAAACCACAGAGGAGAGGACTGATAGTTTGTACTACATAAAAATTGGAAATTTCCATTTGACAAAAACCACCATGAACAAAGTTGAAAAGGCATCAAAAATAACCCAAATAAAAGTCAAACAACGAAATAAGAAAATATCATTTCAGCAAATTTAAGTAAAAGGAGTACTGTCTAAATATATAAAGGTCTCATACAAATAGATAAGAACTGACCCAAATTCAGTTTTGAGGGGAGGAGCTAAGAGGAAAACTAAACAAATAAGGGAAAATGCTTTGAAAATAAAAATAGACCCATAGGCAAAGGATATGAGTAAGATTGATGAAAGAAGAAAAACAACTTGATAACAGCATATGGAAAAAGGTTTTACTACTCAATCCAAGAAATGCAAACTTAAACAAGAAACTCTTTCTCCAACCCAATTCACAAAGATTGTTTTTAATGAGAGAACTCTGTGCAGACAGGAATGCAATGAAAAGAACCCCCATGAAGTGCTTAGAGGAGTATAAATTAGTATAAACTTTTGAAAAACAAATTAATTGGCAGTTCAAAACTGAAAAACTTTATTCGTCCCCATTGACCCAAACTTTTCACTTCCCAGAATCTATCCAGACACTTTGCTGCTCACAGGATGAAGTCCAGGCATCTATCTCAGTATGGAATATGCCTTTCAAGTCTCACCTCCCAAACCTCTCCAACTGACACTTGCCACTCCATCAATGCAATATTGTTCCACCTTAGACATATGCCCTGCACTTCCGTGCCTCTGAGCATTTCCTGCTCAGTTTTCTCTGCTTGGGAACCCCTTCACCACCTTCTTGGCTTGGCTAACTTTGCTCACTCTTCTGGAATCAGCCACATTATCAGTCTTCCCTAATGCCCATCCGGGTTGAGTTAGTTTACATTCTCATGTTTCCATAGATGCAGTACAGATTTATTACAGATTATTTACGTACATGTTTACATATTTATGTATCTAATGACGTATTTGTCTCTACTATCTCGGTTTCTCTCTGTGTACTCCCTACACTGGTGGTTTTTAACTGGGAGCAACTCTGCTCCCCCAGGGGACATTTGGAAATGTCTGGAAACATCTTTGGTTGTTATAAACAGAGGGAGAGAGCGCTTACGTTATCTAGTGTGTAGAAGCCAGGGATGCTGCTAAATATCTTACAACATAAAGGAGAGGTTCCCACAATAAAGAATCATCCAGCCCAAAATGTCAACAGTGATGAGGCTGAGAAACACTGTCCAACACCTAGCTTCTGCCTAGCTGGGGCCATAAAAACATACACCCCCAAAACACCCCACTATATATAAAACTATATAATGAACAACAGTAAAGTGAACTTTTAAAGCCCAATTTCTTCCTCTATACAATGACATAATAATATCTATGCCCGAAGGTTGCAGGGAGGATTTAAAGAGACAACATATGAACAGTGCCTGGTACAAAGCTGGTACTCCATTAATATCAGTTCAGCCTAACAATAAAGTGTGCAAATTAAATCACAGACCCAGAAAGTTTTCATGCTGAAATAAGTCTTAAAGTCTTTAGTCAAACCTCTTCATTTGATAGCTGAGGAATGTCAATCTTTAAGTGCTAATGACTTGCTTAAGTTGTTGGCCTCAGAGCTGAGTTTCTAGTTTAGTGGCAAACCACATTTGAAATGCATGCACAAGAAAAATTGTAAGCTGACTCTTTCGTAAAACAAATAATTATCTTTTTTGGTTTGGCTTATAAATACAATTTTCATAGGTATGTATAAAATTTTCTTAGAAATAGTTAGAATACTAATAGAACAATGATCCAATTGAATAATGTTACCAAAAGTTTCACAGGGGTTTATTTTAAAATTACATTTTTGCATTTATGCAAAAATAGGTAAATGTATTAAAATACAAAGCTAAACAAATAATACATTCTTTTGACTGTAGGAGATCTAGTCAGAATCCAGAAGGACAATTTAAATAGTTTATCATAAATCTCTCAAATATGAGCATACTTTCTGACATCTATGCTAAAAATTAACTGCCTTGTAATGCTTCAGTTCTTCCCTGCTCAATTGCTAACACATACAATAGAATTTCTTAGCAAAATGTAACTTAGAGGCAAAATCCGATCTGAGATCTTGGATTCTAACATGTTATGGCTTTTAATATGAACACCAGTATAACTAAAATTTAAACAAATTTTGGCAAATAAATTAAAACATTTATATTTTAACATCTATAGACTTTATTAGGTGTTCCTTGTACAGTCATCTGGTATGTTTAAAGAGTGAGCAATCATATAAAAGGAAATATGGTCATAACTGATTGAAGTAATAAAATCCTGAAACTAAATAACATCTCATAATTCATTGCACAGCATATATTAGATTTCATTACATCAGTATATAGCTTAGTAGTAAATTCTCCTGATGGCCATAAACCTCTAAGGTGTTGTCATCCTGAAAAATGAAGGGGAAGGAGTTGGTGGGGTACAGAATGAAGAAATCTTCAGTAGTGCTGGTATTAGGGTACCTTTAAATTATAAAGTTACAGTGCATCGCCACCTAGTGGCAGAATTTCTTGTCTTGATCCAATAAAGGGACTGGGGCTCATCCAGGTTCTAATTGTATTCTTCCCGGACACTGTGGATTCTAAAATCCATGCTTGCCCATACGGAATAAAACCATCTGCTCTTCATCCACCAGGCTGTCAAGGATTTGGTTATGACAGTTTTTATGTTCACCTAACTGTTTAATTCCAAGTACTTTGGTTATTTTCAAAGCCACACACAGGATGCCCATATTTTAAAAAATACCATCCTGTTTGTGAATTTGGAAGGATTACTACAGTTATAGGAACTTTGGACTTTGGCCTAGTTTTGATTTTTATTACTGAATCTTTTAGGAAGTAATAATCAATGCAGAGTTAATGCTTTAAAAGGGAGTCCTTAAAGTAAACAGCTACATGATATCATTGCCGAAATCTACACTTTGGATTTTATTAAGATTCTAGAATTTAAAAACAGGAAAAGGCACTGTAACATTTTGGTACCATTTATAGAGCATCACATAAATATTTAGGCCACAAGAACTCAGTTCAGGAATGTTATCAAATATTTGTGTGCATTATGGAATTAGGACCAGAGTCAGTATTTGGGGGTCTGAGGCCCCAGCAGCCCTTACTCTGTCTGCTTCCTACACCTTGACATGAAGATTGAGTGATACTAGGTAGTGCACTGCAACAGTGAACATAAGCCAGCTGTCTGTTTTTCTTGGATGAAATTGCAACGTATAGTAAAATAGAAAAACAGTACATAGACCACTTCAGAGTAAACAAATCTTTCCTCAAGGTCTAGGAAAACCATATATTTAAAACCAATCTCAAACTTCAAGCAATAAAAGATATCAAACATTTTAAACTGTACAAATCAGCAGGATTTGAAATGTTGGAAATTTAAAAATACCACCAATCCAAAAGGCAAAAGAAGGAGATAGCTAAGTCTTAGCCAAGCTCCATCCTAATCAGAGTTGTCATGCAGATCCAATTCACTTCTCATCCCAGGTGATGGACACTGCATTGAAGGAGGTCAAACATCCAAGGGGAGTAGATGGACCAGAATGAGAGTGCCACAGGAGATAGGAGGGAGGACCTTGGACCTCAGCTACTGGCCAACTATTAGACTTGAGGGTACTCAGTATTTTCCCAATTTATTTATTCTCCCTTCTAGTAACATAACTTATATCATGCTAACTGTGTGGCAGAAACTGTTCTAAGTGCTTCACATATAATGTAGTCAATTTTTACAACCTTGGAAAATAGATTCTATCATTAGCCCCGTTTTAGAGCTGAGGAAATGGAGGCAGAGGGGTTGAATTGTATTCAAAAGTTATACAGTGAGCAGTTGTAAAGTTATACAGTTGTAAAGTTATACAGTGAGCAGATAGATTCAGACCTGTGCAGTTTAATCCAGAATTAGCTCTGAATTACTCTATTGTTTACAGGTTGACAAGCCTGTGTTTTAGACATTCCATGGCGGTATTTTCAAACTGGACCGCTTTTGATGACACAAAGGCCCTTTACAATGAAAGGATTTCACTGATGATTTAACCAACTCTTACCTACTCACCTAGTCTCTGAATGAGCCAAGTACAAGCTTTTTGTGTTATTCTTTGTGACAAGAATAATCATTTATAATTAACAAAAACATTGATACAGTGTTCTATGGCTTTCAAATAATTTTTGCATACTTGTTCTCAAGTAAGGTAATCAAGCAACATAGAATAGGCCTGCACTTTGGCTTTGGGAGGAACTCACAAAATCAGAGGTTGCCTCATTGTCCTGCCACTTTCTACCTTGAACAGGTAGACAGCCCAGAATTCCTCTTCCTGTGATACCTCAGCCTTGGTCAGTTTTTTGTCCCCATCTTTCAGCGATGCTCTTATGCTTGGTTTAAATGTCAACAGCACTTACAAGCATGGTTTCTAGGGTCATTGCACAGCCTCCCTCTACCCATACACATCTTCGCAGTGCTCTGGCTTGAGACTCTCCAGGTCAGTCTCCTTGTAACTGTGTACACCAGATGTCTGAATGTATAGACCAGACTCCTGCAGAGGTAATAATGAGTTACAATCAAAGAGCTTTTGGAGAGTCCTACCCAAATAAAATTTCTGGGCATGCCAATGCTCTTAAAAATTAGGGGGTCCAGAGCACCCATCTTCTTAGCCTCCTACTGCCAAATGGGACTGAAACCTTGTCATGTGACCCAAGCAAAACCATTATCAGGATCTAGATATCTTGGACTTGAAAATCAACATGATTTCATCAGCAAGTTCTCCGTAAACAAAAAAGAAAAAAAAAAAATAAGAAAATCAACATGATTTCAGAATGAGTTTAAAAAATAAATCTGAATACCAAAGACAGACTCTTAAGGGATTTAATGAGGCTAATATTTTAGCAAAAATTTTAAAAGCTGCTCTTTATGTTACAAGTCTTCTGACTAGTGAAAAAAATGCAATATACATACACTTTTGATTGGTTTATGAATTTTAAATGTGACACAAAACTTGTTTTTCAGTTGTTATTTGAGGTAAGGCTATCCCACAACACACAGCAGTGGCTTGTTGTAGAACACTAGTAGACTGCAGGTTCTAGAGTTCCTTCCCTGCTAGTTGTGGTTCTACGCTCTCACCTTCACCAAAGCATTTCAGAATTTAGGGGTGAGAATGATACTGCTGAATGATTCCAACTTGTATTTTAAAAAATTATAATCTTAAAACTTTTAACTGGTGAGTATCTAACCCTAATACTTTTTAACAACCATTTCTAAAGTAAATAAGTCACCAGGATATGAAAAAGTATAATCTGTCTTTGTAATATTTTTATAATGTCTTTTGTTTTCTAATCTACGTATTAGCACAGGAGTACATAGGTAACAAATGTACCTAAACTGTTTTTCTTACTGGTTATATAACCTCTTAATTTACTGTGCATACATAATTTCTTTTTAAATGGTAGAATGCAAAATCAAATCTACTTGGAGAGTAGTTATTGAAGAGGCTGTTTCCCAATCCTAGCAAATTAGGGGTGAATCTTCTTCTGAAGCATGAGAGCCAGTCTGCTCAAGTGCTGTTTGCTTCAGGAAAAGTAAAGTCATTGGCGCTTGTTTTTGCTCCATTCCATAGCTGCAAGCTAGGCCAAGATGTGGCTTCTAAGCATCGTGCTAGCCTACAAAAGCAATCCAAAGGTGACTATTCTACTTGGCATAATGTTAAATTCCTCAGTAAATTGACAGATTATATAACCAGTGAGAAAAACAGATAAAAGTGGCCTCTGAGCTCCAGGAAGCAGTTAAAAACAAGTTTGGAAAAAATGACAACAGTAACTAAGTCCAATAGTTATGCAGTTTAAGGTTTAAAATTCAAAAACTCCAACAATGCTTACAATAGACATTTATTTAAAGTAATACATCTGCAGATGAAATAATTATTAAATTTTATGTTTAAGGTCTAACCATCTTCATAAAAATACTTTTGAGGACAGCTGCATCCAGAGATTTCATCTATACCATTACTTCTTTGCCCACTCTTCTCTTAATCTCTGAACCAAATCCATAGAACTTTTCTCCTAGAAACAAGTTGAAGCTATGAAACTTGCAGATTATAAATTCAATCAAGCCCCAAGACCGAAGTTCCCAAGTTGAAGTGTTAAATGGCTCTAATCGCTGATGATTTTGGCTTTTTTTTAAGTCACCCAAGCTCATCAATTCTGAAACAGTTGTTCACCTGGCAATCAATTTTTTCTCAAGCCTTTTCCTGATCTTCAGATAACAGTCCTCTGCAGTCAAAGGATTATAAAATTGGTCACGATCAACTAAGCAGTGATTAGACTCAATGCTTTAAGTTACTGAGCTAACCAAACTTAGTATTGAGAAATTGCAATGTTGCCATTGAGAAGGAAAAGCATTGGGGACGAAGAAAAGTAAAAATGAAGACCAATTGCCCCAAATGCCTGTTTCTTCCCTTTGGCCCCCCATTCAGATCACCGTTGTGTGTAAGATTTGGGTCAGAGAACGCAGGAGGTGCTCCCAATCTCAGAAATGATGTTTCCGAAATGGTTCCTGCTGTCTCAACCTTCTCTAACTATTTCCAGTAGGAAGCTCTTCCCTCTGCTGAAAGTATCTAATGTGTTTACTTATACGCCACAGCTTTGACCCAAGTCACTGAGTCCATTGCCAAATTAACCCGACATTAGATTTGACCTTTTGCTGGCGATGCGCGGTGCTGCGCCTGGTAGTCCAGCTACTCAGAGAGGCTGAGGCCAGGAGGATCAACTTAGCAGAGCATTGAGGTTGCTTGAGTAGGCCTGCACCCAAGGCACTCACTCTAGTCCCTGGCAAAAAGTGAGACTCGTCTCAAAAACAAAAAAACAACTCCTATGCTCATCAGTAGTTGGGATTGGAACCTGTCCATACAGCCCCTGCACTCCAGCTGGCAACCACAGCGAGACACGTCTCTAAATACGATACGGATAGGATACATAATAGATAGAATACGATAGATAGTAGATAGATAGATACGAATGAGATAGGATAGATAGATAGATACAAAATAAATGCATGAAAAAGAATTTTTA